CAAGGGAAATTGACAATATAGAAATATAAGCACCAATGTTGATAAATTTAATTTTCGTGATTCTTTATTGAGCAACAACCTCCAAAAGTGATGGGTCTGCTGGAGTTAATACAGTCTGCCCAGTTAAATTTTTCATGTCAGTGGGACGAGAAACTGATGGACTAAAACTGGTTAAGATTTTAAGGTTACTTTGCTCCTTACACCTTCTGCACAAAGATTCTTGCTTGTCAGCAGAAAAATATGTGAGCTCTACCTATTTTAAGTTTTTGGTCTGAGTCAGTTATGTTGTGGATGCTGTGTAATTTTTTTTCCGTGGCTGTGGAGTCAGATTCGTGGAGTCAGAAGTAATTAAGTGGTCACTAGAGTTGGAGTTGGTAAAACTATACTGACTTCCAACTCAAGTTGAATTTACTCTTCATGCAAAAAGTCTTACATTATAGAATTTATAAATTTTATTTATAAAAAAAAAATTATAGAATTTTTATTTTTGTTGTCTTTTACATCCTGTAAAAGATTATATTTCAATTTCTGTTATAAACAGTATTTGTCCTCATCTTTGTCGCCATATTTGTCACAACGTTTCGGCCGTTGTACGCTCCGGCCTTCTTCAGGTGGTTGGAATTTCGAACTGAACCCTTTATTTCGATCACTGGGGTAGACTGTTCTAATTCCACGTGCCATGTTTGATGGATGTCAGTTATCAGTTAATGCTAATTTTCCCTCTGAAAGTTCTCCACTGCCTTAACCAGGAATTGAACTCACCTTCTTTGGGTCTGTCACTGGATCTAACCAACGCCTTTATCCACTGTGCCATGTGTCCTTGAGGACAAATATGGCGACAAAGATGAGGACAATAGTCCGACTAATGTAAATACTGTACATAATACCTCATCTCAGAAATATAGACAAATTCTGTTATAAAGTAGTTTTATTTTTGTTCTGTATTTATTTCTTATTTGCAAATATATATATATATATATATATATATATATATATATATATATATATATATAAAAAAGTCTTACATTATAGCATTTTTATATTTATTTCTTCAATACTTTCAAACACTTTGTCTCTAATTCTGTTAGAAAATATTGAAGAATGAATAGGTATGTTATAAAAGCCACAATATCTTTATTCTTTGATATAAACCAGTTATAATGATATAGGCCTACTCAAGTTAGGAGTATATGCATAGGCTTTATGAAATTTGTAGGCCATAATCACTTAATTACATATAAAGGGGAGTCAGAGGTGCCAAAAATAAAGGAGTCAGAGACAAACGTTTTGTGTTCCGACTCCACAACCCTGATTTTTTCGATATTTTTGACAGGATTTGTTCTTATTTTACAACAAAGAGCAAGGATTTTCTGTTATGCAATAAAAGCTTTTAGATCAACTTCTAAGTTTGCTTATGAGCAAGGCTTAAGTTTTTTTCTATAATAATGATAGGTTCTATAAGCAAAGGAAACACAGCAATTTACATTGTACCAAGAATACATACATACAATTAGAAAAAAAAAAAACAATTGAAATTTCTAGGGCACATAATGAGGAGAGAGAACTTGGAAAATTTGATAGTACTCACAGGACATGTTGAAGGCAAAAGGGACAGAGGAAAGCAGTGAATAGCCTATCTAATAAGCTTGTGCAAATGTTTGGCAGAACACCAATTAGGAAGAGATAGCAAAAAGACAAACACTAAGAGCTACAAAGGACAGGATGTTGTGGAGAACCATTGTCACCAATGACCTGAAGAAACATGGCACATAGAAGAAATAGATATGGCTTTTTATCGATGGGGTTCTGTATCCTACCACCACATTTGTATCCTGCGTTGTCTAACGTAGGAAAAGCGAAAATGGAAGGAGGGTTGTTGTATTAATTACAAAATTTGAAATCAAAACATTATAAAATAGTAATTTTAATTAAAAAAAGTCATAAAACAAGATATTTGAATCCTTTAAATAAAAACATTCTGAATGTCTTAACATATCGAGAAAAAAGTCAGGCCAATGCCTTAATAATGTAGGATACAAGTGTGGTAGTATGACACACACGCATAAAGCAGAATCTGATCGGTAGGACACACACTAAAGCGGCACCAACTTTTCTTGTAAATAAACTGATGGGCATCATGTGATTTTATTCATAGGTTTGTCCAGCATTTCAGGATTTGCTTTTTTTTTTTTCATAAGCTGACAAAATAAATTTTTTTAAACTTCTTCTTTAAGAATTCAGCAGTGAAGAAAGATTTTTTTTAACAAATTCAGCAAAGCAGATTGCATTTAAGTCCAGGTTTGTTGCTGTTGTAGCATCAAAACTCTGCTGAGATGAAATTATGTCTGAAGTAAAGAAAAACAACCATTTACTGTGGTCTATGTATATAAATAAAAAGAAAGAACAGTAAGATATAAAATCCGGTGTTCTTATAGATATTTTTATTTTTACAAAAAAAAAAAATGTAAATTTACAGAGCATTAATATTATAAATTAATTGATTTAAAATATGTTTTTTTTTTTTTCGCTACACAGTTCCAACCATGTTTCAAAAATAGAAGCTAAAAACCCCGAATTTAATTTTGCAATTAAATTAAAAGCATTAGTTCCATTTGTTGGAACTGTGTAGCGAAAAAAAAAAAATTTTAAATCAATTAATTTATAATATTTACTATGGTCTATAAATTCTTCTTATGTCTTACTTGCAACATGTTGCACTGAGCCGATGTATAGCATCCATCAATCATTTTGAAATAATTAGAAAAATTTTATCAAGAAAATTCAGCAGCTCTGTATTCAAATGCAGTTGTTATTATTATCTGAACTAAAGATGTATCCAAATATATGTGACGTTTTTTTTTTTTAAGTTTGTTGAAACAAAATGTCTTATTAGAAAGGTTTCATTTTTTAAAAGTCTTTATGATGCCACCATTTTACCATAGTATTGGCAATTAGTCATAATGAAAATCAATATTAAGTAAATTAACTTCTATTTTCGATTCATGACTGACTAATTAGAAGATTTTCCCGCGGTAAGCTGCCGTTTCTTTCTACAGTAGACGGGTTGCTGACCAAGGCTCATATAGCAGAGAGAAAGAAAAAAAAAGGAAAAACTAAACATGGGTAGAGAAACGAGAACATTCTTCCTCCATAGAGTAAATAAAGGATTCATGTTTCGTTTACCCGAATTACATCTGATGTAGGCCGGAGAGCACAACGGGCGAAACATTGGGATAACAATAACAACAAAGATTAGAATAACTGTTCGAATGTTAAAGGGTGCACTACTATGTAACAGTGTGTAACTACTCTTCCCAGAAATTCAGACAGAATGCATAACTGGGGTGAGCATAGATAGGTGTTAATACCTTTTCTCAAAGGGTTTGGACGTAAGTGAATAAGGCTTTAAGGAACTCCGACTGGAATTCGAACTCAGAGTTCTCATTCCGAGCCGTACACCACATCGCACATCCTTCAGTCAGTATTGTACTGCCAAAAAACCAAACACATTGAACCAATCCGTTATAAACAAAAACAAAGAACCATTAATCCGATGATTAATGCCAAAACTTTTAGAACAACACCATATTTCATTTTTTTTTTTTTAATATTTCTTGTACTTGACAGATTTTTAAATGTTAAAAGTTTAATCTGAAAAACAAAATGGTTTTAAAAACAAATGGTTGATTAGTTAAAAAAAAAAAAAATGAAAATTACTTCAGTTGTAAAATATGGAAGCACTGAGCAGAAAAAGCGGTTTTCCGATTTCATATTTCGTACTCATAAATAAAAATATTTTCTTCTGGCGTAGTTTTTCTGGTGGAAAAAAAAAGCACAAACAAAATCATTTGCGTAGTGACGAATATTAGGTTTTTACTTTTTTAGTACGGTATAGCGAGGAAGATTGTGTTTAGTTACGTCAATCTTCCAGCTGATAATCTGATAAACAGCAGTGAACATTGGAAATCCTGTCTTTAGGTTTGTTTGCCTGATTTCGAAAAGTAACAATACCAACCAACCTGTTACTAATTCATTCATTCTTTCCCTTTTACATTTTCGCCCTGATTTCATAATAAATCACAAACGACTAAAAATATATATTTTCACTGTTCAATATTCATTTTATGAGCGGATCAGAAAAAAAATATATAGCACCAGGAATCTGTGTAAAGACTTAATTAGTTTTAGCCATTTCCCCTTTTTATTTTGTGACGCACTGTATGTCAAGAAGTAGAAGTTAAAAAAAGAAAAAGTAGCAACTGGAAATCAATAATATTACTTTTTTTCTAAAAGAAATATTATTTATAAACGAGTGAATTAATGAAAGAAAAAGAAAACTAGTAAAATCGATGTCCTCAACTGCTGTTAACCGTTAACGGATAGTCACCTTAAAACTCTTCTTCTTAAAAGCGTCAACATAAACAAAGTGACAATTGAAGTAAACATTTATTTTAAAACAACGAAAAGAAGAAAATAAATATGTTTTGACACTAACTAAAACTTAATAGAAATTCTTACCTAACACGACAAAACCAACTCCCATTGCAAATGATTTCGATATTACTTCAACAAAATACGTCCGTTGCGCGTGAGAAAAACAAATATGTTAGGCCGGGGCTCTGAAAAAGAAACCGGTTATAAAGGCCGGCAGGGGAAAAAAGTTGTCTCGCAAATCATCAAATTTTACATGATGGTGAACGAGACTATTCTTGTTGCATATTAAATTTTAACTTTTCCTTCAACATTTTTGCGAGTGTGCGATAACGAGCTTCACCAACCCGGCACATCTAAATCAGGTTAAAAATTAAAAAAAAAAGAAAGAGAAGAGAAGAGAAGAGAAGAGAAACAGGAAGTACACGTGTGTTGGGTTATCAGCGACATCTTCCAGTCGTATGCGACATTTGGATTTAAGGGGAGATCACTCTCGATGACCGGCACCTGAAATAATTGAAAAAGTGTTGAAAGGATTGGAATCGATGTTGACAAGTAAAATTATACGAATGGCTGAGATTGAAATTGAGCAGGCCCTGAAAAATGTCACCCAGAGAATGAAACAAGCTCTGCTGAAACGACCTGAGGTAGTTTGTGTGAAAGAGAGAAGGAGGAAATTAACAAAATATTTTGATACTTTGAGAAATAATGTGTCATAATCGAGAAGATATTTTTTTTTCATATTTAAATAATTTCTACAAAAAAATAGCACTTTAATTTTTTTTAAATGTACTCAAATTCGATCGTAATATGACAACGGCTGTCTGAATGTTTTCAAAAAATGCAAAATCTAAAAAAAAAATAATAATAATTATATAATTACTAACTTGCGCAAAAGAAAACAGTGTTCCCTAATTTGTAAATTTGTCGTTTAATTTTTATTTTTTTATGATCTCTTGATTCAGTGATGTTAAAAAGGCAATTAAATAATGGATATTATTTCATAAACCCTTTTTTTTCTCAATGTAAAAGATTACGGCTGATAAAAATAACAAACGTTGTTTACTTGATGAGTATTACCTGAAAAAGAAAATAAAGAAATATTGATTCTTTATGCACTTGTCTCTGAGAAAACGATATATAATTTTTTTTATATATATATCAACAACAATATTAGGGGAAAATTATGACAAAGTAGAAAAGTTTTCATGTGACGCATTTCGTCCTTAAAGTTAAACATCACTTTTTAAATCTGATGCTATAAGGGACGAAACCGGTCGCATGAAATTTTTCCCCCATTTTTGAGTTTAAGGAGTGCCCCTTTATGGTTGTTCTTGTTTCGCTGTCCATGTCTAGTGATGTCTCGTTTTGTTGTTGTACTGTTCAGTTATTGCCCACCGTTTCCACCGTACAGTCTGTCTGTACTGTACTACCTGGTCCTGGAATTGTAAGGATTTTTTTTTATTTGGTAAAAAAAAAAACTACGAAAAAAAAATAGTTCAAACCAATATTTGAGGTAATTTTAAGGCCAAGGACACACAAGAAAGACAAACGACACGAGCCTAGTTTTAAAAATGCAGACGATAAAATTTATTAACACACACAAAAATTAACAAAGAATTTGCCAAATAATGGACAATGTACAAATAAACACTACAAATAAAACATGTCTCTTAATCTTTTACAATAAAAATCGCTATGCTGCATAAGGTTCACTAAAAAAGATAAACAACATAAAAATAAATGAAAAAAGGGAAAACTACTTTGAATAATTTTTAAAGTATATTTACATTACAAGGTTCGAAACAGAACAATCACACCAACTGAAGAATTTTCCTTGATGTGGGAGCAACTTTGACGATCCTTTCAAATTTTAATCTGGTGGTGGTCAAATTTCTTCTCAATTCTCTTTTTTGCTTTTTTTCACACAGACTCCAGATTTGTTTCTCAGAATTTGAAGGGAAACCTTTTTATTAGTTCCGTGTGAAAACCAAATTCAGTTATTTTCCCACAAATAGAAATGGTCTAAAAATTTTTTTTTTTTAATTTAAAACAGCCTAACATAATACAGCGTCCTTTTTCTCTCAGAAAAGCAGACGATACACACTCAAGAAGCAGCTCAAATTTCTTATAAGTGCACTCACAATTACTAAGTGCCTCCACGTTTAAAAAAAAAAACATTTTAAATTTTTTAAAGTTATTTTTCTTAAATCAATAGTCAAGTCCTAAACTGTAAAAAAGAAAAAAAAGTTTTACGTCTTTATAAATATTTTAAACATTTTTATAACAAAAATGTAAAAACTCAGTTCTAATTTGATGGATGCTGACAAAAGATAAATTAAAATACTTTTAAAATCCAATATCTGCCCATCTAATTTGATGGATGCTGACAAAAGATAAATTAAAATACTTTTAAAATCCAATATCTGCCCAGACATTTCAAATAGAAATAGTAAATTAACTAGATTTTGTAAAAAAAAAAAAAAAAAAAAAAAACTTACATTTAAAATATAATGAAAATACATTTTTTCTCAACAGAGTATGTCCTCATTTGTTAACATGTTTAAATCTTATTTTCTTATAACTCTTCCTCCTACTTTTAAAACTTCACACTAGAAATCAAATCAGATACAGAAGAGCAAAAGTACCATAATCAAGAAACTTGATTATTCATAAGAAAAGCATATCAGTATTTAAACTTTATGAAACTGAAAAAACAATTTTGAATTTCTTTGATTATCAAAAAGAATATAAAAAAGAATAAGGGAAAAAAGTTTTTGAAGAGTAAGCGTTCTCAAAGCAAATTTGTGGCTTTCACAACACAAAGAAAGAAAATCACTTGTAACGCGTCAGGAAAATAACTCACGAACGCCGTAGCCAAAACTGCCCAAATTTTCCTTCCCCGAGTCGAAAACATCAACTGCTTTTATCGGCAGAACCTATTTTTTCCATTCGTCGACAGCCGGGATAGGGTGCTCCGTAATTTGCATATTAATATACTCTTATAGCGACTCCTGCGATGGACTTGTTTCTTTTTCATCGCAGAATACACGCGACGCGCTGTCGCTTGGGTTGACGAGGTAAGTTGCTATAAGAGTTTTGCTGACTACTTTTTGGCAATCCCTCCCCGGCAGATCGCACACAAAACACGAACTTTTTCCCGGGTTACTTGATTATCTCGTTCACTACACTCCCCCTTGTCACATAAGTGACATTCATGGGCGGGCCAGAAAACTTGACTTCGCCTGCCTCTGTAATGCATACGCCGCCCAGCTCCTTAATAATGTCCATCCCAAGGAGCAGATCGAAAAAACAATAACGCTACTGTCCATGACCAACACACTGACTGTGACAGGGTCACCGTTGTTAATACTGAGTTTGATGTTTCCAACTCCCGGCTTCTGAGAGCCTTTCCATCAGCCGTTAATAACGTCCATCTTTTGTCTGCTCCACTGTTGGCAAATCGAACCGTTGGTGAGTGACCGAGAGCAGCCCGAATCTATTAACGCGGCACGCGTTATTCCATTGATGCGCACCTTAATCACAGGGAGCGCCACTTTCATGCTCAGTGCGGGAAGAGACCGGCGCTGACGTCGTGTCCCCATTCCATTTCCCGGGCACTTAGAGGCAATATGACCTACTTTCTGACATTGAAAGCATCGTGGATCGAGACGTGCCTTTTAAACCCGCTGCGCATTTCTTCGCGTTGATAGTGGCAGTCTCTGGCAAAAATGATTCGCCCAGAGCACCGATAGCAGGTGGCAATGCCATGGTGACGAATGGCTAGGGTCGGACCTTCTTTGACTTCAATTGGTTGAATAACTGCGCCACTGGTTCATCAGCCTCTTTTCCGTCGATCATGACAGCAATATAAAAAAGTCAACAATTGATTGAGCGTCAGGTCTTCCATTCTGGATGATGCGCAGAGTATCTGCTTAACATGACTGGGCAATCCAGAAACGAAGGCACATGTCATCCATTCTTCAGTAAGCGGTGCGATTGAAACAGCGAGCTTCTTTAATTCTGCCAAATATACGTCTACTGTCTCGCCAGGTCGCAGACGCCGTGCCTGGAATTGGTCGTAGGCCACGACCGGTCAGTTCCAAACGCGGTTAGTAGAGCATGCTTTATTTGCTCAATGTCACTTTTCTGTTCTTTACTCAGCTGCCTATACACAGCAAGGGCACCGCCATTCAATCGCAGGAGGAAGAATCCGATCAATCTTCGATATCTCGCAAAAATTCGCAGACCAGTTCCACCTTTTTCGATCCATTCAACCACAGACTGTCCACTAGTATCACCACTGAATTCGGGGATCAGTTTTATATCGAACGGTCTTTCCGCCATCTTCTTTAATAGACAAAGTAAATGCCAAATAGCTTGAAGGGTAAGCGTTCTCAAAGCAAATTTGTGGCTTTCACAACACAAAAAAAAGAAAATCACTTGTAACGCATCAGGAAAATAACTCACGAACGCCGTAGCCAAAACTGCCCAAATTTTCCTTCCCCGAGTCGAAAACATCAACTGCTTTTATCGGCAAAACCTATTTTTTTCCATTCATCGACAGCCGGGATAGGATGCTCCGTAATTTGCATATTAATATACTCTTATAGCGACTCCTGCGACGGACTTGTTTTTTTTTTTTCAGAATACATAATGACAATTGTCGCTTGGGTTGACGAGGTAAGTCGCTATAAGAGTTTTGCTGACTACTTTTTGCAATCCTCCCCGCAGATCGCATAAAAACACAAACTTTTTCCAGGGTACTTGATTATCTCGTTCACTACAGTTTTTTTTTAATATTTAAATCAGGGGTTCTCAATCTTTTCTGTGTCATTGCCCACTTTCACATGGAAAAATTTCCACTGTCCACCTGTATAGTAAATGTCTATATTTCTGAGACAAGGTATTATGTACACTGTTTACATTATTCAGACTATTGTCCTCATCTTTGTTGCCTTATTTATTACAATGTTTCAGCCGTTGTATGCTCCAGCCTTCTTCAGGTGGTTAGAATGTCAAACTGAACCCTTTATTGAACTCACACTCTTTGGATCCTGTGACTGGATCTAACCAACACCTTTATCCACTATACCATGTGTCCTTGAGTGGAGAGGACCCAAAGAGTGTGAGTTCAATACCCAGTTAAGGCAGTGGAGAACTTGGAGAGGGGAATAATCAGGAGATAACTGATAACTGACATCCATTAAACATGGCACGTGGAACTAGAACAGTCTACCCCAGTGAGCAAAATAAAGGGTTCAGTTTGACATTCCAACCACCTGAAGAAGACCGGAGCATACAACAGTCGAAGTGTCATAATAAATATGGTGACAACAATTCGGACAATAGTCCGAATAATGTAAATAGTGAAATATTCAAAAGCATACAGTGATGGGTAAATTAATTTTTGATGGGCACTTTTCCAGACTTCATAAATTTAAGATGGTCAATGTGATAAAAAAAAAGGAAAAAGAATTTTATATTAAATAAAAATTATTCTAAGGTCATTTCTTAATTTTACCAAGGTGTTTTTGGTCTTCCCTTATCTGATTTATATCCAAAAAAAAATATTATTTCCTCTTAATAACTATTTGAATGTTAATGACTCTTCTCAAAATTATAGACAATAACAAAATATTCATTG